AACAATTACGTAAATTTGGAAACATAATTGTGACTTCAACTCAGTCAGTTATTGAAAATCAAAATTAGGCAGACTGTTACGCAACACAACTAACACAAGAACAAGGACAAGTTGAGATGAATAACGCTGAATGCTCTTGTTTTTCCACTCAATGAACACTATCGACCAAATATGACAAAACGGGATATCGGATGGATTTTATCTGTCTTTAACCAGACCACGATGTGTATTCAGTGGCACGTCATCATCACAAGTCGCTCCACATTTTCATCTTTATTATTTATGGAAGAATTATTCGAGTTTGACCACGGATTGATATCAGTCAGAAAACCATTGAACAGGAGGGAGTATTGGACAGCTGTTTCATCCTAGTCTTGGGAATCATCGGTATACGAGATTGCCCTACAACTGGAAGGTCCTGGTTTCTAAGCTCAGTGGATGGTCAAACTCGAGAAACAAATCTGATCCTTACAAATCAACTCTTGAGAAGAATTAATACCATTCTGCTGATGTAATTTAGTAATCGTCATTGTTAGTTTGAGAATACAGTATTCAGCGAGGAGACTCTTCTGGACGAATTTATTATCAATCTGTTTAAGAAGGTATATCCTTTTCGGACAATTAAACAATGGTGTTGCAAGGAAGATATGGTAAGGCTCGAAGGGATGCCATTCAGGACAAGCGGATTATTAGTGCATAAATTTGGTACACGATATCACCGATGCTTTATTTGCACATCATTCGGAAATTGGTCGAATATCTCTACATTCGGTAGCATGTTAATTTCTGCACAGTGTTTCTAAATTTCTTATCACAGGTTTGTTCTTCGATTGCTTTTTGCATGGTCCGACATATATTGTTGCTTTTCTGAACTCGTTTACTGATGTACTACTTATGTCTGCTTGTAAGTAGCACTCACTAGACTTGCCCTATCATAATGAAGTCTTGCTTGTAACCGCCTCGACCGCCGCACAAAGGTTCCATCTCACTGTTCTCCGGGTCTCTTGGCTTGACATTTTTGTATCCATCTTCGGAGCAGAGTGACATTACCACTTTTTTCTTCATTCCCTCTCTTTATTGTGTACACTGGACCACGTCTCGATGTGACCACATACGGTCCCTCCCACTTTGGGAGAAGCCTTCCTGATCCTGGTCCACTTCCGTTCTCTACATTTCACCTGGTCGCCTGCTTGAAAAGGCTTCCAAGCTTTGAATTGTTTCTTGTCAGATTTCTCGATGTCTGCCTTTCGCTTCACTTGGATATTCTAAATAGCCTGTTTCCGCCCACTTGTCCATCTCTTACTGTTCCAATGGTGTTGTTGTGGCCAAGTCTTATGGTGCACCCGCAAGAGTGGCTTTCTCGAATACATTAGCTGAACGTTGGTGAGTGATCCCATGTTGACTGAAATCAGACTCAGGTATTTGAAAGCATGATTCCACATTATCTGGCCATAATAGCACGAGCTGAATAGTGTTGTTAGTTGGCAGAATACGCATGACCTTCGGCATATGGTCACATATAGAGAAATGAATGCACTTCAGAAATAGTGCAAGAACAAATACCAAATGGAACGAAATCACAGGATTTGTCTGCGTATCCACCAAGGATGAAGTTCGCGATAGGAGTCACCAGTTTGGAGGCTGAGGTGTTGACGTTCACGGATAGTACGAAGTATACTTACGCAAGATCTACTACACATAACCTCTATTGTTTTCGTTCCGCGTAGACCAAAGGCAAAGCAAATCAACAGAATTGATCGCCCAAATTACGAAGCATATTTCGGGACCAAATCGGATGATTACGACATGATCGCTTAGCTAGCTAGGTGTCGTTCACGAACGAACGTAACACGACGGCGTGACAAATAGCACGGATGCTTGACCGTAAGCCTTCAGCTAAACGAATCGAATAAAACAGTGAGGGTTCGCATCCAATTCTGGGGAATTTCCTGCCGCTACAATACATTTATGCAACATAGACTAACAGATTTGTTACAACTTATATTTGTCTGACAAACGGGATGGAATGAATGCAGTTACAAAATATTGTCAAATGCGAGATGATGGCGGTGATGAGTCATACAATCAAGGTAAGTTAGTTCAAGGTTGTAAAATGTGTTGAGTAAGTGGCTAGTACGAAATAGTAGGCATCAAAGTGGAGATAGTATCACCTGTGAATGCTTCATCATGAAATAACTAATATGTGAAATCAAATGGACGGAGGCATATATTGAGGAAAGAGATCATATCACTAGTAATAAGTCAGAATACTATAAATGGAGAATTCAATGGCGTTCAAAGGATACTAGAATGAAGGGTATAAATTATAATGCATTGTGGCTAAAACTGTCAGAATGAAAACAAAAGGAAGCAAAAACTAAAACACCAAAGTAAAAGACAAATGAGGAAAATCCACTCTTCGTGGGGAGAAAAATTTCTAATCGAGGTTTGAACACGGCAGCAACACCACCTGAATGTATTCCTTTTGGATACATAGTTCCGATTTCATTGCAACAGCTTCATATATAGGGTAGAAGTTGTAGGCGAACTGTGCGTGTTATTGACTTCGGAATGTGACATACGATGCTGAAGGCTTGAGATGTGTTGGTGAAGCCCTATGTTGCACTCGGAAAGCAATAGAATAGTGAATGAAGGCTGTGTTTGCGTTAATGAGACATCTTGTATCCACCAAGTGTGATAGGATTGAACATTTTATGCATTTGATTGCACCCTTTCTGTACTAGCCTGATAGATGCTCTTCAATCCACAGGCGAACACACCCCCTCCTACACCCCATACAACTTGAACCACGCGAATGCTTGAGACGGAAAATACATTAGGAGGATGACTTATTATTAGGTAGGACGACTTTTAGTTTCTGAGGGAACATTAGACGGCTACTGAATGATACGAAGAGATCTCCAGACTAGGAAGTATTCTTTATCTTTCTGGCTAGACATTCGGGTAGAATCTTCTTACGAACATCTCCCTAGAATTGTAGACGTAGAATTGATGGCTTTCTCTTCACCACTGCCACTTCATGTTTACTAATAATATAACCCAAGTTTCTCTGGATATTGCAGACATGTCAGCCGAGCGAGTGGACTGCATTGGACAAAACAATACTAAGATTGAGGTGAACACTTCATCATGACATTCGTCTATAGATCTGAGATCATTCACCAGCCTAATATACACAGGGTGAAATCAGATGCATAGAAAGTTCAATTCTATCACACTCCGCAGATACATGACATCGGATTAGCGTTAACATATTCTTTAGGACTATTCGTCACACCTCGCAGTCATTACCATATACAGTACGCCTACTCTTCTACACATACCTAAAGCTGTTGACTTAAGATAAACTAAGTCAGAACTCTGTGTTCAGAGTGAGCAACCCGAGGTCATCCCCATCATGACCAGACTTCGATTAAAGTTGCCTCCTCAGTATTTCCCACTGTTTAAACTAATTTGGTCTCAATATTTTATCATTTACCCTATTCATTCTATCGTTCCTAAAGCACTGTCGAATTATTCTTATACATATGGAAACTGACAAGCTATTCTGATTGATTATTGTTAGTGATAATCCATGACTCCACTTCACTCATTTCACATATTCATTATTTGATGACGAGGATGATCTATTCACAACAGTCTCACTATAGTCTATTTCATGTATGCCATCTTTGTACAAACTACCTAACAAACACGTTTCATAGCCATAAAATGACTTAGAATTAGTAATCATGACAAGTGTGCTATTCTGCAAGATATCTGTCTCCAGAGTGAATTTAATGAAACCAGAATTCTTCGTTCACACTGACTTTTAATTCATGCATGCTAAGAAGAAATATTTTATACTCTTCAATCGTATACTAAATGCATGTCAAGCGTTTTCGAGATTTAGCCGTAATGTTAGGCCATCGTACATTTTCGAAGCTGATACTTCACAGGATGAACTGACACTTGGATGAATCACATGGGTACTACACAGCTATTTCGTCCTATGCATAAGTAAATAATCACCATACATTGAGAGAGAGAGATGATTACACTTTTAATACAAATTATTACAGAAGTGAGCACAGTGTGACCATCATTCTGATTAGCTAATCCACTAACGAACTGACATTCAGCCAAATTTCAGTCCAATGGAGGGTGACGCGCGGTGAAATCCACGATGCCCACTCCCTCCTATTTCGGATTCGTTGACTGGGTGTAACCACGTTCCCAGTGAATGATACTGTTCCCACTGAGTTTCAGTGGACGGAAATGTTCGGCCTCTCTTGACAAGTCGACATGTCCTAGGATTAACCTCAAGTAATTTCTAGAATTAAGTCTAATGCACTGATTTCATTTCTACCTCAAGCATGAAATAGGATGCCTGAAAAAATCTAAACTACAAGGTGAGAAAGAAACAATGACATGTGACTCAGTTGGTTTGAACCAACCACGTAGGCAGGTGTAGGCTATCTGACTGGGGTCCTCATCATGCTGAGCCACAAATGGCACAAAATACGGCTCAAAACAGTTCTCAGTGGCACAGATGCATTCACTCTCTGTTATCTCCCAGATCTATTGATCCCTCATCTTCTTTCCGTGTTACTATTCTTTCTCGAATCAAAATCTCTCCTCATTATAGTTCTTTCCTTGTTCTACCTTTGTCCGGTAAATCGATTATGGCAACCCAAACTCTTGCACTTTTGCACACACTACAATGTTGAAACTTAGCCACCAACTGTCAGCCATAATTGAGATAACGCTTACAATAACCGCTTAAATTAAAATAAAGACAACATTCTAGAGGTGAACACTTCACCGAATCAAAATGTTTATTTGTTCATTCTCTCAAGAGAGAGAGAGAGAGAGTAAATAACGATATAACTACTACAAAAAATAAGAGAAAATAAAATCTTCTTCAGTAACAAGCGAAGTGTCAATCAGTTAAAATATAGGGAATGTTGAAATTTATCGCCCAACCCATCCACTCTCAACTACGATAACGACATGCATACTTGATCATCGGAAATCGCGACATTCTCTTTATTCTCATCTGATATAGCCAAAGTTTCAGCTAATTGAAGACGACCTTCATTTCGTGTATTCCTAGTGACACAGATACGTTTACCAGAAGTCGATGCAATCAACCCATACGTATTTTCATTATTTGAATCCGATGCTGTATTGTTTGAATTTCTATCACAAAAAAATAAATAAGTCAAAATATTCACCAGAAGATCCAGCAACAACCAAATAACAACAAACATTGAAATTCCGAACAAATCACGTAAAAAATAGAATTGGAAAGACTGATTCAATAGAGAAAGAATATTCTCTTCGATATTTATATGACAGGAATCATTGGAAAAATATTGTTACTAACAACAAACATTAAAAAAACTGGCAACAATCATTGTCCACACTCACAAAGCAACATCAACACTATACAGCCTATTATAAATGTGTAACCAAGTAACCACACATACAGACTGTTTAGACACTAAAAACAAGTGTGTTTCATGTCTACACACACACCTTGTTCAAGTGCAAGATTAGATGTTTTCTTATCAATGCTTCTCCAGCTCATTTACTACACATTTCAACGGGTTGAAGTAGGTGGAATGGGATTGGAACTTGTCATCCATCGTCTGGGAATCGAGTGCTTACGCGTCTCTACAAAACTGCTGTATTGGCTTATGCTGGGTCGTAAGGACAATTCATCTTCAGAGTGGTTAAATTCCAAGGAAGTCAAACATCCACACAACAGACATTAACTCTCCCAGACTCATGTCATTTGTAATTACTTGTCTGAAACACAGCTGGTGTGATGACGTGCCAGCATTACAACTTCCAATAACTCCACACTGAAATTAATAATCACATTTATGTTGATTTTCTCACTTCATGGTAGCCGACGCGCAGTTCAAATTCAGACAGACTCCATTTCATTTGACATGAACTGCTTCTGATATGAGATGGTCTTTGTGATTTCTAAAATTCTTCTGCATAACTTCGATACTGTGAAATTCAACTTTGTCGCCTAATCCTATAACCAGTGCGCACTGATGCACTGTAAACCCGACCTTGGTGGTTAAATACTAAGAAGGTCTAACATCTACACGACATACATTAATTCGCTAAGCCCCGTGTCATTTGACGTACGCCACCCTAGCGTTCATGATACAGTTGGAAATCTTGTCCGTCATACCTCCGCCAGCACCCACACAACTACTCAGATACACGAACTTATCGATAACTTCAAGCAGTCCATCTGCTGGAGTGAGTCCAGGTGCACGCTCCTGCCAATCTTGTAACAACACCTTGCACTCAGATGGCGAAAAGCACATACTATACTTACAGACACTGATCACCAACCTATTACGCGCCATTTGGGGAGCCTGCATGCTATCGCACAATAAGACGATATCACCTGCATTCTCGAGGTCAAAAGGTCTTTCTCTAGGAAGCAAATCTACACCGTCAACACACACGTCTCTCACAGATGGCTCCAGAATGTCATCCATGGCAAAGTTTAAGATAAATAGAGAGATCGAACAAATAAGAATTCATCACAGTCACTCTGCATATGAATATTCTCATTAAAGATGTGGAACACCTCGTCATACTGGGACTCGTGGACATTCGGGTTGACTTAACGGAGCTGGAAAACCCTGATTCCAATGCATGCATTGGTTGCCTTGTGGATCTGACTTCAAGTCAAAGGCTCGGGGAGACAGGTAGCCGCTTTCATTCAACCACTTGCATCAGTCTACACGTTCGACCAGTATCTCACAACCCACACAAACTATCCGATTTTGTGTGGAGCATTTCTTCGTACCCATATATTATGTGCCGGATTTATGTTTTAGTCAATCAATAAATAAATAAAAGTGTGCACTACTCACTCAATCCAAGTTGCTAAATGTTTTACATTAAAGAAACACATATTTTAGAAGAGAAAGAGAAGAATGAACTACAGCTTACCTCTGATAATTTCCCCAGTGCTCTGTGTTAGTTGATGACTGGTGTGTCATAGCTGTAGCAAGTAATTCAATATTTCTAAAGCGATAATCCAATTTCAATTGTAAACGAAAATATTTCTCATTGAGATCTCGATATTTGTAAGTGGCCAGTGAATTCTGTGATGATGCACGGAGAAGGTGACGTCTGGAATTTGAACTGCTAGCAATATCATTTTCTGAGTGAAGAAGGTAATGCCATGGAGCATCAATCTTATATTCTTTGTCACATTTTATTGTATTCCAATTCACCGGACATATTTGAAGATAATGTAAGAGATTTACAGCCGATGGTAGTCCAATGTGTACTAGAAAACATCCTAACAAGGCTTCAACCATATCCGATAAAGACTTGTCATATAGGCGGGTACATAAACGAGCATCGTATTTAGAAACCTGTAGAAAAGCCAAACACAATAAATTGACACGACTTTTATACTCACTTACTAGAAATGAAAAGACCTATGAAAGCTATCGGAGAAAATACACTACTCAAAAAGGCATTTTACTAGCCAGATTGTCACCGTGAAAAAAATCAACGGTGAATTATCTTTATTTATACAGACTTCAAACTGGACGACTGCAACAGTATCACCGAGTGTAATCCACAGGCTGGTGAATGTGGAAAATAACTGTTCACCCTGATAGGTGGACACACATGGACGAAAATCAAACATTCTAGAGGTGAACAAAATAGCAATGCGAATGATTCTAGAAAAATACAAGCAAGTACACCAAAGAACAAGTGTATTGTCTATTTGTCAGTCGACTGATAATGATGATGAATTTCCGAAGTGAAAACAGATTCCTATGTGACAGCTCGTACTTTCACATCTTTATGGGCACTAAATACGCACAGCGTTTGCTAGAATCACCAGAGATATGCTCACTTCTTCACATACATCTCTCGTCAGGTCGACACTGGAAAACTGTATCCAGGCCGCCAGTCCTTGTCTTAAGGGGGACTCACACATTCGAGATGCGTTTCAAAAGAGGGAAATACGTATGATTATTGGCATGACCAACTTATCATATGACGAAAGACTACACACTTGGAATCTCTTCTCCCTCCCGGTCACACTACAGGCAGAGAGATCTCATTACAACTGTCAGAATTTCCAATAATCACTACGCACCTGGTCTATTCTCTCTTTTCCCTACTACCAGACGAAATCGGAACACCTCAGAGGAAATACCAATTGAGATGAAAACTCGTGTCAGCGCCCTCAATTCATTTATTCAAGAAACCACAGAAATTCACTACAAAACGATTAACATAGGCTTCAAGCCTTCTATCCTCAGCCAATAAATCGGAATCGGAACTAATCACTTGCACGCTTTCTGTGGAGCCATCCACACACACCATGAAATTAGCAATCTCTACCACATGAGTTTTCAACTTGAATAACTATGCATATACATACATACATGCATACATACATACATACATACATACATACATACATACATACATACATACATACATACATACAGGAATTGAAATACTCGGAGCAAACGTGAAAATACAAACAAAGATTACCATCACAGCCACTAACCTCAGACGAAACAGTGTAGCACGGAGGTACAAAATGTTTTGATGGAAAGAATGTTTGACCAGTACAATATTCATACCATGCCAAATCTCGAGCAATATCACACAAGTGAGCATTTGATACAAGTGAATTTCTATTCCAGCTTAAGTGTCCTTCATCCGCATCCTGTGGACTGGTGCCGTAAACACTCAGTGTAGATATCAAATGCAGAAACGAATCGCCATAAAATTCTAAACGCTCAAGATTCACTGCATCACGAGCACCTAACAACGTAGTTGGCTCGATCAGGTCACTGGGTTGAGGACAAACTGTTGGAGCGCCTTTGAATTCCCTTGCAGCCATATCATCCATCTCCTGATCAGTGGTATTTTGCCTAGTTGGCATGTTACGCTGAGTCAAATACCTCCAGAAGATTGGGTTGGTTTAGTAGTCAGACCTATTCACCTTCCAGATAACGATCCTGGTATGTTTTCGATTTCAGAAGTGTGTTCGGAAACTCCTGTAAGTTGTGTGCCGCGGTATTTAGCTTCGAAACTTCGTAACACGAAAAATGAAGAAGTATCGGCAGTGATCTATTTACATTTCTGCAGAACGAAGTGTCCCCTGATGAGAGATCTACCCATTGATATTTCAATGCCATTGTGCAAGACGTCACGACTGACGTGTCATCAAAATTGCACCCAAGTTACTGTGGGTCTACAAAGAGGTAAATCAAGTCCCAAAAAGTCAAAGTTTGTATGTGAAGGGTGTTTAGTACACCCATTATCTTCATGGCTTTGGTTTCTGTTGTCTACGATACCTGCAGTTCCTTATCAGATGTCGAGGGCATTGTTGGCATCACAATTGTCCACAGAATTGGCCGCTGAGTTAAAGAATCCCCAACCATTCTGTCACAAGACGAATCCATCCAATATGACGGCTGATTATCTTTCTCCTGTAACCATTTTCGTGCCTGACCGTCTACGTGATGCTAACTTCTCAAACGGTGAACCGATTGACGCAACTATGTTTGATTTTAAAGTTGATGAACTAACTTCAAAAGAAGATCAGGAGATGGATGATATGGCTGCAAGGGAATTCAAAGGCGCTCCAACAGTTTGTCCTCAACCCAGTGACCTGATCGAGCCAACTACGTTGTTAGGTGCTCGTGATGCAGTGAATCTTGAGCGTTTAGAATTTTATGGCGATTCGTTTCTGCATTTGATATCTACACTGAGTGTTTACGGCACCAGTCCACAGGATGCGGATGAAGGACACTTAAGCTGGAATAGAAATTCACTTGTATCAAATGCTCACTTGTGTGATATTGCTCGAGATTTGGCATGGTATGAATATTGTACTGGTCAAACATTCTTTCCATCAAAACATTTTGTACCTCCGTGCTACACTGTTTCGTCTGAGGTTAGTGGCTGTGATGGTAATCTTTGTTTGTATTTTCACGTTTGCTCCGAGTATTTCAATTCCTGTATGTATGTATGTATGTATATGCATAGTTATTCAAGTTGAAAACTCATGTGGTAGAGATTGCTAATTTCATGGTGTGTGTGGATGGCTCCACAGAAAGCGTGCAAGTGATTAGTTCCGATTCCGATTTATTGGCTGAGGATAGAAGGCTTGAAGCCTATGTTAATCGTTTTGTAGTGAATTTCTGTGGTTTCTTGAATAAATGAATTGAGGGCGCTGACACGAGTTTTCATCTCAATTGGTATTTCCTCTGAGGTGTTCCGATTTCGTCTGGTAGTAGGGAAAAGAGAGAATAGACCAGGTGCGTAGTGATTATTGGAAATTCTGACAGTTGTAATGAGATCTCTCTGCCTGTAGTGTGACCATGAGTGTTTTGTTTCGGTGTCCTGCTTGAATGAAGTATGTTAAGCAACTGACTTCTGGTATTTCTTATATTCGCGATTAGTAGACGAAGCCCGAAGTGCTGTGAATTTCAAAGCAATGCTCAGTAAGAATGAGTGGAATGGTGATGCTTCTGACGAGAATCTTAAGATTGGCTTATGCGGATAGCTGAGAAAGGCACTCTTTTTGACTGACCCACGGATGAACTTCTACTGTCAGGAAATGTCTAATAGTGTTTTCGGTTTTCTAGTGATGTGACGGTTTGTTGATTGATTTTACACTGAGAAGTTTGATTTGATATGTAGTTCGAAGTGTATCTTGGAAAAAACCACACTTGCTACCCAGTGAACTGGAGTAGGAACATAGGGTTCAAAGTAAGGGTTTACACTTTCGGTGTGTAGAGATGCCTAGAATTCAAAGGTATGAAAGCAGATGGCTGTTGTTCATAGTTTACTGTGGTGTCGACAGAGATATTCAGCACTAGTGCTGACCAGGTGTTCAATTATCGCACTCCTCATTGCATTTCAACGAACGCCTGCTTCAAAGTATTCTACCGAGTCAAGAACAACATGTCAGAGGCAATACGGTTTCGTCTCCTTTGTATCGCTGAAGCTCTAGCCATTCACATGGAAAAACCGGAGCTGTGCATACAAAAGAAGATTACTCAACCACTTCTACTCTCATGGTAACAATGTTTTGATTTTTTTTTGAGTTTTTTATTTTCATTTTATTTTGATAACTTAATTTTGTCTCTTTGCCTGTTCCTTAGTTGCTTATAATTCTTGTATTCACTTAGATCTCTTACATAGTTTCGTATTATCTACTTTGTTTCTATGTGCATCCTGAGTAAAACTCACTCATCAAAATATTCATATTATTATTGCATAACTTCTTTTAACAACTGTTTGTGACAACTCATCACCTTTGTTACTATCCTAGCACTTAATTGTCTTGACTTATATTACCAACCTTTACCTGTTTAGTTAAAATAACCTTAAGCAATTGTAATTCTTGTATCCACTTAGATCTCTTACATAATTTCTACTTTGTTTCTATGTGCATCCTGAGTAAAACTCACTATTATTATTACAACTGTTTGTGACAACTCATCACCTTTGTTACTACCCTAGTTTCACTAACACTTAATTTTCTTGACCTGTATTACCAACCTTCACTTGTTTAGTTAAAATTAACCTTAACCGATTGTAACTTTGTTTGACAAACTTAATGTACACATACATACAAAACAATGCATATATATTTGCGATTGTAGAGCTAAGAAGATGAATTCGCCGAAAAGAGACTCTTCGCTGATCTACGTGTTTTGTTTCATTCAAGCCTTCTATCCTCAGCCAATAAATCGGAATCGGAACTAATCACTTGCACGCTTTCTGTGGAGCCATCCACACACACCATGAAATTAGCAATCTCTACCACATGAGTTTTCAACTTGAATACATACATACAGGAATTGAAATACTCGGAGCAAACGTGAAAATACAAACAAAGATTACCATCACAGCCACTAACCTCAGACGAAACAGTGTAGCACGGAGGTACAAAATGTTTTGATGGAAAGAATGTTTGACCAGTACAATATTCATACCATGCCAAATCTCGAGCAATATCACACAAGTGAGCATTTGATACAAGTGAATTTCTATTCCAGCTTAAGTGTCCTTCATCCGCATCCTGTGGACTGGTGCCGTAAACACTCAGTGTAGATATCAAATGCAGAAATGAATCGCCATAAAATTCTAAACGCTCAAGATTCACTGCATCACGAGCACCTAACAACGTAGTTGGCTCGATCAGGTCACTGGGTTGAGGACAAACTGTTGGAGCGCCTTTGAATTCCCTTGCAGCCATATCATCCATCTCCTGATCTTCTTTTGAAGTTAGTTCATCAACTTTAAAATCAAACATAGTTGCGTCAATCGGTTCACCGTTTGAGAAGTTAGCATCACGTAGACGGTCAGGCACGAAAATGGTTACAGGAGAAAGATAATCAGCCGTCATATTGGATGGATTCGTCTTGTGACAGAATGGTTGGGGATTCTTTAACTCAGCGGCCAATTCTGTGGACAATTGTGATGCCAACAATGCCCTCGACATCTGATAAGGAACTGCAGGTATCGTAGACAACAGAAACCAAAGCCATGAAGATAATGGGTGTACTAAACACCCTTCACATACAAACTTTGACTTTTTGGGACTTGATTTACCTCTTTGTAGACCCACAGTAACTTGGGTGCAATTTTGATGACACGTCAGTCGTGACGTCTTGCACAATGGCATTGAAATATCAATGGGTAGATCTCTCATCAGGGGACACTTCGTTCTGCAGAAATGTAAATAGATCACTGCCGATACTTCTTCATTTTTCGTGTTACGAAGTTTCGAAGCTAAATACCGCGGCACACAACTTACAGGAGTTTCCGAACACACTTCTGAAATCGAAAACATACCAGGATCGTTATCTGGAAGGTGAATAGGTCTGACTACTAAACCAACCCAATCTTCTGGAGGTATTTGACTCAGCGTAACATGCCAACTAGGCAAAATACCACGGACAGGTCTGAACTTCACTGATCCACTAGTGTTGTTTTTAATCTCCGAAGACAATGAATTCGTACGACAAAGTGACCAATTCACAAGACTCTCAATAGCTTCATAATCTATAGTACATTCTAAAAGAATGAAAATGTAAAAGACAAAAATCAAGCATCAGCATAATAGGACAGACACCCTGGAATTACTTCTACAATCATTATTGAAAATTCATATTAGAAATGATCTAGATGTAACTCAGGTCTCTCTACTAATACCACAAACCCGCCACTTCACGTAGCATCTACGAATTCTAGTCTAATCTACATAAAAACACCTTGTACAAGTAACTAACTTCCATTGCAAAAGACACCTGACATGTATACATATACACAGTCATCTCAAAGCTCGTTGGAGGTAATCGACATAAAACTGTTGACCTAGCTTCTGTTCTTTTTGGCACTCGTTGCCAAAGTGTGTCTTCACCTAGGCACTGATTCTCTTCACAGACGACTCCAAGTCGCATCACACTACTGCAGTCACAGAGATGACGCCACTGAGTCAATCCGCTCGATGATTCACTGTATAGTTGGCCATAATGCACCTATCGATTGATCATTAGGGTATCACAAGTGCTATCAGTGGTTACTCTCCACACATCAATTGATGAACATAAAAACCAGTGAAAAAGCGTCCACCAACATAAACGATCATCAGAAACATTCACCTTGCATATTGTTAAATCTATTTTCAACATACACTATTAGGTGTTTATTGGCAGATCTGACTGAATAGCTCATAAAACTACAATAAACAAGAGAGAAAACTAGTACGACTACCACTACTACTATTAGTCATGGTGATGATGATAGGTGTCAAATATAAAACTTGCATGACACATTTCAATGAATTTCCCCAGAATGGTGAGCATAGTTTGATCATTTCAAGGGTGTATCAGTGACGATGTCGACCTCAGTCGTGGACTACTACTAATTAGGTTCAGTCATCAACAAGGCATTCTCATTGGAGTTAACAATCTCATTGGAAGATAACCACTCAAACTAGTTTAAAAAAAATATGGACAGTTTTAATGCAGACCATAGAATTCAAACACGCATGCAATATTTCTACGCCATTTACATAAATATGATGTGTGCAGCTCATATTGCATATTTCATCTACACTGTCAATATCGTTTTATAAAAGTCCGAATGATAGCGACCGACCACTTCAATGCTATGGTGAGGCTTGCATACTATCCTGATCGCTGAGTGACAGTGGCTACGATGAATGAATGCTTCTGAAAATACTGTCAATCTACATAGGTCAGTTGGATAGCGAGCGGTAAATGACTAAAATTAACTGTCATTATAGACTTGACTACTTCTTCGACTGATGGAGGAAAGAGTCTAACAACAGTGAGCGGTTCTATTGGACAAACAACACTTAACTTATTCTAGACATTTAATCCTCCATTACATCTATGGTGAACTGAACAGTTCAGGTGAAGTCTTCCATAAGGACAGAACACGAATCGTGACATTTTAATGCACACCACATACAAACAACCAATCCCATCAGAAATCCTCATGATACTACAAACACGTAAACTCAATACGTTTTCCACTTTACATACAATCGATAGACAACAACTTGCAATATACGGACAGTCAGGAGAAATGAACTGCCTGAATATCTCTGTCGACACCACAGTAAACTATGAACAACAACCATCTGCAGACTTCAAACTGGACGACTGCAACAGTATCACCGAGTGTAATCCACAGGCTGGTGAATGTGGAAAATAACTGTTCACCCTGATAGGTGGACACACATGGACGAAAATCAAACATTCTAGAGGTGAACAAAATAGCAATGCGAATGATTCTAGAAAAATACAAGCAAGTACACCAAAGAACAAGTGTATTGTCTATTTGTCAGTCGACTGATAATGATGATGAATTTCCGAAGTGAAAACAGATTCCTATGTGACAGCTCGTACTTTCACATCTTTATGGGCACTAAATACGCACAGCGTTTGCTAGAATCACCAGAGATATGCTCACTTCTTCACATACATCTCTCGTCAGGTCGACACTGGAAAACTGTATCCAGGCCGCCAGTCCTTGTCTTAAGGGGGACTCACACATTCGAGATGCGTTTCAAAAGAGGGAAATACGTATGATTATTGGCATGACCAACTTATCATATGACGAAAGACTACACACTTGGAATCTCTTCTCCCTCCCGGTCACACTACAGGCAGAGAGATCTCATTACAACTGTCAGAATTTCCAATAATCACTACGCACCTGGTCTATTCTCTCTTTTCCCTACTACCAGACGAAATCGGAACACCTCAGAGGAAATACCAATTGAGATGAAAACTCGTGTCAGCGCCCTCAATTCATTTACTCAAGAAACCACAGAAATTCACTACAAAACGATTAACATAGGCTTCAAGCCTTCTATCCTCAGCCAATAAATCGGAATCGGAACTAATCACTTGCACGCTTTCTGTGGAGCCATCCACACACACCATGAAATTAGCAATCTCTACCACATGAGTTTTCAACTTGAATAACTATGCATATACATACATACATGCATACATACATACATACATACATACAGGAATTGAAATACTCGGAGCAAACGTGAAAATACAAACAAAGATTACCATCACAGCCACTAACCTCAGACGAAACAGTGTAGCACGGAGGTACAAAATGTTTTGATGGAAAGAATGTTTGACCAGTACAATATTCATACCATGCCAAATCTCGAGCAATATCACACAAGTGAGCATTTGATACAAGTGAATTTCTATTCCAGCTTAAGTGTCCTTCATCCGCATCCTGTGGACTGGTGCCGTAAACACTCAGTGTAGATATCAAATGCAGAAACGAATCGCCATAAAATTCTAAACGCTCAAGATTCACTGCATCACGAGCACCTAACAACGTAGTTGGCTCGATCAGGTCACTGGGTTGAGGACAAACTGTTGGAGCGCCTTTGAATTCCCTTGCAGCCATATCATCCATCTCCTGATCAGTGGTATTTTGCCTAGTTGGCATGTTACGCTGAGTCAAATACCTCCAGAAGATTGGGTTGGTTTAGTAGTCAGACCTATTCACCTTCCAGATAACGATCCTGGTATGTTTTCGATTTCAGAAGTGTGTTCGGAAACTCCTGTAAGTTGTGTGCCGCGGTATTTAGCTTCGAAACTTCGTAACACGAAAAATGAAGAAGTATCGGCAGTGATCTATTTACATTTCTGCAGAACGAAGTGTCCCCTGATGAGAGATCTACCCATTGATATTTCAATGCCATTGTGCAAGACGTCACGACTGACGTGTCATCAAAATTGCACCCAAGTTACTGTGGGTCTACAAAGAGGTAAATCAAGTCCCAAAAAGTCAAAGTTTGTATGTGAAGGGTGTTTAGTACACCCATTATCTTCATGGCTTTGGTTTCTGTTGTCTACGATACCTGCAGTTCCTTATCAGATGTCGAGGGCATTGTTGGCATCACAATTGTCCACAGAATTGGCCGCTGAGTTAAAGAATCCCCAACCATTCTGTCACAAGACGAATCCATCCAATATGACGGCTGATTATCTTTCTCCTGTAACCATTTTCGTGCCTGACCGTCTACGTGATGCTAACTTCTCAAACGGTGAACCGATTGACGCAACTATGTTTGATTTTAAAGTTGATGAACTAACTTCAAAAGAAGATCAGGAGATGGATGATATGGCTGCAAGGGAATTCAAAGGCGCTCCAACAGTTTGTCCTCAACCCAGTGACCTGATCGAGCCAACTACGTTGTTAGGTGCTCGTGATGCAGTGAATCTTGAGCGTTTAGAATTTTATGGCGATTCGTTTCTGCATTTGATATCTACACTGAGTGTTTACGGCACCAGTCCACAGGATGCGGATGAAGGACACTTAAGCTGGAATAGAAATTCACTTGTATCAAATGCTCACTTGTGTGATATTGCTCGAGATTTGGCATGGTATGAATATTGTACTGGTCAAACATTCTTTCCATCAAAACATTTTGTACCTCCGTGCTACACTGTTTCGTCTGAGGTTAGTGGCTGTGATGGTAATCTTTGTTTGTATTTTCACGTTTGCTCCGAGTATTTCAATTCCTGTATGTATGTATGTATGTATATGCATAGTTATTCAAGTTGAAAACTCATGTGGTAGAGATTGCTAATTTCATGGTGTGTGTGGATGGCTCCACAGAAAGCGTGCAAGTGATTAGTTCCGATTCCGATTTATTGGCTGAGGATAGAAGGCTTGAAGCCTATGTTAATCGTTTTGTAGTGAATTTCTGTGGTTTCTTGAATAAATGAATTGAGGGCGCTGACACGAGTTTTCATCTCAATTGGTATTTCCTCTGAGGTGTTCCGATTTCGTCTGGTAGTAGGGAAAAGAGAGAATAGACCAGGTGCGTAGTGATTATTGGAAATTCTGACAGTTGTAATGAGATCTCTCTGCCTGTAGTGTGACCATGAGTGTTTTGTTTCGGTGTCCTGCTTGAATGAAGTATGTTAAGCAACTGACTTCTGGTATTTCTTATATTCGCGATTAGTAGACGAAGCCCGAAGTGCTGTGAATTTCAAAGCAATGCTCAGTAAGAATGAGTGGAATGGTGATGCTTCTGACGAGAATCTTAAGATTGGCTTATGCGGATAGCTGAGAAAGGCACTCTTTTTGACTGACCCACGGATGAACTTCTACTGTCAGGAAATGTCTAATAGTGTTTTCGGTTTTCTAGTGATGTGACGGTTTGTTGATTGATTTTACACTGAGAAGTTTGATTTGATATGTAGTTCGAAGTGTATCTTGGAAAAAACCACACTTGCTACCCAGTGAACTGGAGTAGGAACATAGGGTTCAAAGTAAGGGTTTACACTTTCGGTGTGTAGAGATGCCTAGAATTCAAAGGTATGAAAGCAGATGGCTGTTGTTCATAGTTTACTGTGGTGTCGACAGAGATATTCAGCACTAGTGCTGACCAGGTGTTCAATTATCGCACTCCTCATTGCATTTCAACGAACGCCTGCTTCAAAGTATTCTACCGAGTCAAGAACAACATGTCAGAGGCAATACGGTTTCGTCTCCTTTGTATCGCTGAAGCTCTAGCCATTCACTTGGAAAAACCGGAGCTGTGCATACAAAAGAAGATTACTCAACCACTTCTACTCTCATGGTAACAATGTTTTGATTTTTTTTTGAGTTTTTTATTTTCATTTTATTTTGATAACTTAATTTTGTCTCTTTGCCTGTTCCTTAGTTGCTTATAATTCTTGTATTCACTTAGATCTCTTACATAGTTTCGTATTATCTACTTTGTTTCTATGTGCATCCTGAGTAAAACTCACTCATCAAAATATTCATATTATTATTGCATAACTTCTTTTAACAACTGTTTGTGACAACTCATCACCTTTGTTACTATCCTAGCACTTAATTGTCTTGACTTATATTACCAACCTTTACCTGTTTAGTTAAAATAACCTTAAGCAATTGTAATTCTTGTATCCACTTAGATCTCTTACATAATTTCTACTTTGTTTCTATGTGCATCCTGAGTAAAACTCACTATTATTATTACAACTGTTTGTGACAACTCATCACCTTTGTTACTACCCTAGTTTCACTAACACTTAATTTTCTTGACCTGTATTACCAACCTTCACTTGTTTAGTTAAAATTAACCTTAACCGATTGTAACTTTGTTTGACAAACTTAATGTACACATACATACAAAACAATGCATATATATTTGCGATTGTAGAGCTAAGAAGATGAATTCGCCGAAAAGAGACTCTTCGCTGATCTACGTGTTTTGTTTCATTCAAGCCTTCTATCCTCAGCCAATAAATCGGAATCGGAACTAATCACTTGCACGCTTTCTGTGGAGCCATCCACACACACCATGAAATTAGCAATCTCTACCACATGAGTTTTCAACTTGAATACATACATACAGGAATTGAAATACTCGGAGCAAACGTGAAAATACAAACAAAGATTACCATCACAGCCACTAACCTCAGACGAAACAGTGTAGCACGGAGGTACAAAATGTTTTGATGGAAAGAATGTTTGACCAGTACAATATTCATACCATGCCAAATCTCGAGCAATATCACACAAGTGAGCATTTGATACAAGTGAATTTCTATTCCAGCTTAAGTGTCCTTCATCCGCATCCTGTGGACTGGTGCCGTAAACACTCAGTGTAGATATCAAATGCAGAAATGAATCGCCATAAAATTCTAAACGCTCAAGATTCACTGCATCACGAGCACCTAACAACGTAGTTGGCTCGATCAGGTCACTGGGTTGAGGACAAACTGTTGGAGCGCCTTTGAATTCCCTTGCAGCCATATCATCCATCTCCTGATCTTCTTTTGAAGTTAGTTCATCAACTTTAAAATCAAACATAGTTGCGTCAATCGGTTCACCGTTTGAGAAGTTAGCATCACGTAGACGGTCAGGCACGAAAATGGTTACAGGAGAAAGATAATCAGCCGTCATATTGGATGGATTCGTCTTGTGACAGAATGGTTGGGGATTCTTTAACTCAGCGGCCAATTCTGTGGACAATTGTGATGCCAACAATGCCCTCGACATCTGATAAGGAACTGCAGGTATCGTAGACAACAGAAACCAAAGCCATGAAGATAATGGGTGTACTAAACACCCTTCACATACAAACTTTGACTTTTTGGGACTTGATTTACCTCTTTGTAGACCCACAGTAACTTGGGTGCAATTTTGATGACACGTCAGTCGTGACGTCTTGCACAATGGCATTGAAATATCAATGGGTAGATCTCTCATCAGGGGACACTTCGTTCTGCAGAAATGTAAATAGATCACTGCCGATACTTCTTCATTTTTCGTGTTACGAAGTTTCGAAGCTAAATACCGCGGCACACAACTTACAGGAGTTTCCGAACACACTTCTGAAATCGAAAACATACCAGGATCGTTATCTGGAAGGTGAATAGGTCTGACTACTAAACCAACCCAATCTTCTGGAGGTATTTGACTCAGCGTAACATGCCAACTAGGCAAAATACCACGGACAGGTCTGAACTTCACTGATCCACTAGTGTTGTTTTTAATCTCCGAAGACAATGAATTCGTACGACAAAGTGACCAATTCACAAGACTCTCAATAGCTTCATAATCTATAGTACATTCTAAAAGAATGAAAATGTAAAAGACAAAAATCAAGCATCAGCATAATAGGACAGACACCCTGGAATTACTTCTACAATCATTATTGAAAATTCATATTAGAAATGATCTAGATGTAACTCAGGTCTCTCTACTAATACCACAAACCCGCCACTTCACGTAGCATCTACGAATTCTAGTCTAATCTACATAAAAACACCTTGTACAAGTAACTAACTTCCATTGCAAAAGACACCTGACATGTATACATATACACAGTCATCTCAAAGCTCGTTGGAGGTAATCGACATAAAACTGTTGACCTAGCTTCTGTTCTTTTTGGCACTCGTTGCCAAAGTGTGTCTTCACCTAGGCACTGATTCTCTTCACAGACGACTCCAAGTCGCATCACACTACTGCAGTCACAGAGATGACGCCACTGAGTCAATCCGCTCGATGATTCACTGTATAGTTGGCCATAATGCACCTATCGATTGATCATTAGGGTATCACAAGTGCTATCAGTGGTTACTCTCCACACATCAATTGATGAACATAAAAACCAGTGAAAAAGCGTCCACCAACATAAACGATCATCAGAAACATTCACCTTGCATATTGTTAAATCTATTTTCAACATACACTATTAGGTGTTTATTGGCAGATCTGACTGAATAGCTCATAAAACTACAATAAACAAGAGAGAAAACTAGTACGACTACCACTACTACTATTAGTGATGGTGATGATGATAGGTGTCAAATATAAAACTTGCATGACACATTTCAATGAATTTCCCCAGAATGGTGAGCATAGTTTGATCATTTCAAGGGTGTATCAGTGACGATGTCGACCTCAGTCGTGGACTACTACTAATTAGGTTCAGTCATCAACAAGGCATTCTCATTGGAGTTAACAATCTCATTGGAAGATAACCACTCAAACTAGTTTAAAAAAAATATGGACAGTTTTAATGCAGACCATAGAATTCAAACACGCATGCAATATTTCTACGCCATTTACATAAATATGATGTGTGCAGCTCATATTGCATATTTCATCTACACTGTCAATATCGTTTTATAAAAGTCCGAATGATAGCGACCGACCACTTCAATGCTATGGTGAGGCTTGCATACTATCCTGATCGCTGAGTGACAGTGGCTACGATGAATGAATGCTTCTGAAAATACTGTCAATCTACATAGGTCAGTTGGATAGCGAGCGGTAAATGACTAAAATTAACTGTCATTATAGACTTGACTACTTCTTCGACTGATGGAGGAAAGAGTCTAACAACAGTGAGCGGTTCTATTGGACAAACAACACTTAACTTATTCTAGACATTTAATCCTCCATTACATCTATGGTGAACTGAACAGTTCAGGTGAAGTCTTCCATAAGGACAGAACACGAATCGTGACATTTTAATGCACACCACATACAAACAACCAATCCCATCAGAAATCCTCATGATACTACAAACACGTAAACTCAATACGTTTTCCACTTTACATACAATCGATAGACAACAACTTGCAATATACGGACAGTCAGGAGAAATGAACTGCCTGAATATCTCTGTCGACACCACAGTAAACTATGAACAACAGCCATCTGCTTTCATACCTTTGAATTCTAGGCATCTCTACACACCGAAAGTGTAAACCCTTACTTTGAACCCTATGTTCCTACTCCAGTTCACTGGGTAGCAAGTGTGATTTTTTCCAAGATACACTTCGAACTACATATCAAATCAAACTTCTCAGTGTAAAATCAATCAACAAACCGTCACATCACTAGAAAACCGAAAACACTATTAGACATTTCCTGACAGTAGAAGTTCATCCGTGGGTCAGTCAAAAAGAGTGCCTTTCTCAGCTATCCGCATAAGCCAATCTTAAGATTCTCGTCAGAAGCATAACCATTCCACTCATTCTTACTGAGCATTGCTTTGAAATTCACAGCACTTCGGGCTTCGTCTACTAATCGCGAATATAAGAAATACCAGAAGTCAGTTGCTTAACATACTTAATTCAAACAGGACACCGAAACAAAACCTTGCATGTTTAACTTCACAACCACAACACTACGCTCAGTAGAAATATAAGCGCCTCAGAAACATCCAAACTTCAATACAGCCATTAACACAATAAAGCCTGAAGATCTCATTTCTCACACAAAAGTAACATTAAGCTCCATAGATTAGACAAACGATACACAAGTTCAAGCACACAATCTATGTCAACACACTGAAACATCAAAAAACGACAAACAAAACTCATCAAAACCACAAATGTCAGCCCGAAAAAGCTAATTTAACGACAGAAGCATAGTAATTGCCAAAGCATATAACATTAACTCAACAGCAGTTATGGACAAATCAGATTACATTAAGAAAGTCAATCAACAAATTCAAATGCATCCCTATGAGGAGATTACGAAACCCACAGACATGCTTATCAATAATAAGGATCAAAACTCCAACAGCTGGTCTAATACACCGAATGAAGTCACCTCTGGGTGAGTCGACATGGCTTAACTTAGTGACCAAGACTAGTATTCCTAGTAGAATGCACGGCATTACTGTCAAAATTCATGGGACAGGATAATCTGCTAGGCCAATGGTCGACTTTAGGAACACTACAACATATGAACTATCCAAATATTTGGCATCTATATTATGCCTGATTAGATATCGGTCAGACTGCAGGCTGATTAACTTATTTGAAATGAAGTTGAAGCCAGGGGAAATTCAAATAGCAAAAGATCTACCTAGAGCTACAATTATCCCATCCGAAATGACTACAAGTGGGTTCAGTCGAATATGTATGTAGTTCAGTTAGGAGCCTAACTAGTTAGTCAGAGGATTTAAGTGATGAAATAGAAAAATCGAGAAAACAATACCAGTGAACAACTACCCACCAGGTTTTATTCAAGTGTGTGATATAGATGATGAAAACATAAGTGATAACGAATTCAAAACATCGACAGCACTACCATGTAAGGAAGGAACATCAGAAGACCTACATAGGAGTCTTAATACCACTGAAACTAGAGGGACATTTAAAACAACCCATTTACTCACAGACAAACTTTGTCACCTTCAACACTCAATAGACCTAATTAAGCGAAATACGATTAACCAGTAGACGAGGGTTAGTTATGTTATCAAAACATAGAAATCCCGCCAGGTCTAGAAACCTTGGCCACGCTCAGTTGAGTAGTCTCGAGAAAAGTTCCCCCATTGTTATGCATCCACTTGCGTGCTATCACACAGTAGGAAGGGACAGAGGAAATGTATTACCATAGAATAAATTAATTTCATGAAAGCACACAGTGATGCGGTATTATTTTCTGATGACGTTGCGACCACAATTTATTGCTCACAAACATTACGATGCTCACATAACTCTCAGACATTGTCCGTATGATCCCATTATTTCTTATCCTCTGATTTTATTCGTACTAATATTTCTCATATCTCTGATATTGGCGTTGCGTTATTCCTATTTCGTGTGTTGTGTTGTGCTAGGCGTTGATTCCATCGACAAGGATCCACTGGGCGATCAACTTCTCCTTCCACTTACCTATATTACTTTTATCACTCTAGTGTTTGCACACAAACTCAACAACAAAGGGAATAAAATCTTTACTTCGGTCAGGAAATAAACTACGACGATTAGTTATATTAGATGGTTGGAAGCAGTCAGTATGTATATATGTATAATGCATATTATAGCCAGTGGTGAGGATCTAATTGATAAGTAAATATTTCCTCACTCAATCCTTTTGTCATCCAAATGTCCAAATGGGGATTTTCTTTTTATATTTAAAACCAAGCGTCACTGTCTTGGTTGGATACAGTAAAAACGATGTCAAGCCTCAAAACAACCCAACAATGGATGGAGGATGACAATACAAATACGCTTTCCAATCCACCCTTTCAAACTGCTTCCAACAAATGGCTATTTCGTCATGTATTCAATAGTGCCAGTTAAAATCACCATTATTTGGACAACGTTGATCGATGCAAACTCACTCAGACCAGACTGCATGATATTCAACAAGTTCGTCTCCTGTCCATGTAAGTCTGTCAAATGCTGACTGAATTTATCATTTCTTTTAGAAAGCTCATTTAATGGAGGGAGAGAGAGAGAGAAAACAAGAACTATAAAGTTCACCACGTGCACACCGAGGGCGTGGCTATCATGATGTCACCAACGGCAACGAAGGCCCTGATGCAATGGGAGGCGATCTCGCCCAGGATAATGACCGCCAGATTCAACTCCAAAGGAAGGAAAGTGTCAGTTATACAATGCTATGCACCGACAAACAACGCAGACCTCGAAAAGAAAGAAGAATTCTACAGATAACTACAGGCAACAATGGACAATACTCCAGTCGGTGACATTAAAATACTAATGGGAGACATGAACGCCAAACTGGGACCAGACAACACAGGAAGGGAACTCATCATGGGTAGAGAATCTCTCGGAGAAATGAATGAAAATAGAGAACTCTTCGCCGACTTCTGCGCTTTCAATGAACTAGTGATTGGTCGCAGTGTATACAAACACAAGGATATCCACAAGGCTACATGGGTGTCACCAGATGGGCGAACCAAAAACCAAATTGACTTCATCTCAATCTCAAGGAAGTGGAAGCGCAGCCTGCTGGACACGAAAGTAAGAAGAGGAGCAGACGTTGGCTCAGACCACTATCTCGTACAAGGGACAATCCAAATCAAATTAAAAGCTTTCAGAGAAACAGGAGCTGCAGATAGACCACAAGCCAAGTTCAACACTCAAAAACTGAAGGACCAGGACACAAAGGACATCTTCACTGCAAGCATAAAGGACAAAGCTGAGAAACAAATCAACACTGGCGAAGAGGCCAGCGTCGAAAAGCACTGGAACAATTTGAAAACAGTGTGGAGTCAAACCTGCATGGAAGTGCTAGGCAGAAAGAAGAGACAGGACAGATTTCCAATGAAACTGTTTTGTTCTTTGTTATTACTATT